CACGACAGCGAGCCGGTTCACAGCCCCACAAAACCGCTCCGGCTTCTCCCCCTGCCCCCCTCCTACTGCCACTCTCACTGATGTAGGTCCTGGACTATTTTCTGGAACCTCCTGATGCCAAGTTTTGCACTGGTACACTGGAATACATGGAATAAAGGCCGAGTTACCCCGTGGGGGCTTCTAATCACCTCTGTACCGAACCGTGAGAAATCATATTCTTTTTGTTTCTACTGTGACAATCTCTTCCAAAGTCCTTGCTAGGGCTTTCTCTCTCTGAGCTACTTCGTCTTAACCTCACTTGCTCTTTGTTTTCATCACTCTCTGCTTCAGAGTCACTCAGCTCCAAGTCAGGACAGTACCCGTCGTTGTCCTGGTAGGGAGCCCCTTCAAGCGTCTGCTTGCTCCATAAGCGATCTTTGGTCGCGAGTCTTCTCGTTGGCTTTTCACAGCACCGGAGATCTTCCGTGGTCCTCACCAGACTGTTGGTGGCCTCTTTAAAGGACCGGCTAAAATGTTCTATGGTGGATTTTCTGAAACCGCTCTGGCTGGCCAAGTGAGCCGTGAGGACGGACTCCTGTTCGTAGGGCGTCTGGCTGGAGCTGTCTTTCTGGCTCACGTCTCCAGCCCTGCCCATCAGACCGTTGGACTTGGCCGCCAGCCTCGAGTTCTCCTGCTGCACCCGGCCGTTCCCAATGGCAGCCTGTCCGTGCAAGGCAGCCTGGAGCGCCAGGGGCTTCCCGGAGGGCTGGCCCCGGTAAAACTCCGGCGTGGGGCCGCAGTCCTTCGCCTCGCCCCGCGGCTTGCCGATCCCTGCCAGCAGCCCGTTACTCCTGCCGTCGTGCTGGTACCTGGAGTAGGATTTTGCTCTAATTTCAAACGATTCCTTTGCCATCGACACGCTCCGCTTGCTGTAAACGGCGCTGTTGCTGTCAGGAGAAAGCGCTCTGTTGCCAGGCTTCAGCGAGTTATTTTTGCAATCTCCTAGGGCCGATTTGGGCATTTTTAACTTCAGGGTGATCCTGGGAGGTGGGTAGAACAGCGTGTTCTCTAGTGCACTTGTCAGGGTATGGCCTACATGAGAAAGACAAGGGGATGAAGGGGGGAAAAAAAAAAATCATTAAAAAGAAAGTAATCATTTTGTTATCTGTAACAAGTTTTACAGTCCATTAGAAGGTCATTCCACACTAAGAAGCATTTGCAAACAATTAGTGTGAAATTATTTTAGGACATTAGAGTAGAGTTGGGATAATGACACCTGTTCCAAATTATCCACAGTTTCAAATTTTAGGTAAGCGTTTTAATATTTCCATTAAAAACAACAATGTGCCCTTTCTACATGGCTTTAAGCCAGTGAATTGAACCAACTCTGAGATATGACTGAAGTAGTTCCAACAAAGCTATAAAAAAGGTTAATAATTCAGTTTTGGATGGAGAAAAAACAATGCTTCAAACAGATTCCATTTGGACTTAGTTCAACTCTCTCTCTTTCTATTATAAAATGTCTCTAAACTTTAAAAATCTTTTCACCTCAATATATTACTCTTTATGACATCATACGCATACAGCACCATTACAAAGTAGCTATCAAGCTATTCTAATAAGGATTAGAAAAACTTCTATTTGTAAAGACAAAATAAATTTAGTAAACATTTCTAATAAGATGCATTTATGCAAAACCAAAGTACTGCTGTTTCCACAAAGTACTAGTTCAATCTAAAACAGTTTAAAAAAAAGCCCACCTTGTGGCTTTTTCCACTAATGAAACCTATCCATGTTTCAGGGGTAGAGGACAAAAAGCACAAAGACTTCACTCTAAGTTGGTCATTAAAAATCTAACATACATCTTGAAAGAACAGACAGCTCTTAATTTCACACTGAAGAAATAGCTGCCTGCCCTATTAAAAAAAAAAGTAATTGCACTGTAATGTATACTCTCCCTCTTTCCAAATGTGTTCCTAATTTCAGAATGGTCACTATAAGAACAACAGGCAGAGTGGGTTTGGTAAGTCAGCATTCCTAACCAGTTACTGTTCACCATTAAAAACCAGAGTACTTAAACTCTTTTTGAAGGAAGGAGAGCAACTGCAGATGGCAGGCTAAGAAACACCTCTTTGAGTTGGTCATCAAGTGTGGAAGGCAATGTGAGAAGAACGGTGATTCCTGTCCATCACTCTGCTCTTTTGCCTGAAGGAACCAAAGTACTGGCAGCAAGCAAGAAACCTCAGCAGGAGAACCAAGCAGCAAGGCAGAGCTTGCCATGGAGAAACAGCACCAGAAAACAGCAGCCCAAGGAAGCAGAAGCTAGAGATCCCCATCAGCTCACTTTTGCTATCTGGGTGCCCACAGTGATTCATAACTAACAAGCACACACCAGGAACAGCCATAAAATAAAGAAATATCCAAGTAAATATTTTAAGAGATTAAAAGGTTCGTGCGTGTCGCTACTTTTGTTGACCGTGTATTTGAAGGAAGTTTTTAAAGGCAGATTTACAATGTTAAAAACATTAAGAAAAGAACACAATTTTTAGTTTAAATACAAACAGAATTTGTCAGTATTTCACGTTGGTATGATTACCTGCAGCAATTTCCTGATTAATGAGCTGGACTTGCAAATTGAAGACCTGTTCGTGTACTTTACTGTGAGACAACTTCAGCTTCTCCCTCCTGCTTACCATGTAGCAGAGATTTCTTACCTATGGAGAAATAACAGGAGACTTAACAGGCCATTAAAAAACAGATCCTGATGTAGTTTTAAAAAGTGCATCAACAACAGAATTGAAACAACATTGTATGCAAGAGCCCCTGGCAAAGTTCTTGTGAATGTTACTACTTTTTTTGTAGTATGTAACTACAAATCCAACACAAAATATACTGGAATTTTTTTTTTAATTGCCAATTTAAAGAATGCCTTAAATATACTCTGCAAGACAGCAGAACGTATTTCCATCTACAAGAGCAGTGTGCAAACCCAAAATTCCCAGCAGGCAGAAGAAAAGTCAGTAATTTCTAAGACTGTTTCACTGTAGGTCTGCTTTCACTACGTATGATGCTGAGGATGTTACTGCAGACAATGCTGGATTCTCTGAGAATTTCCCTGAAAAGTGTTTCACAGAATGATTTTTAACAGATATGCTATGTCTGCTTCCCCTAAAATCACTACAATATTTCAAGTAATACTTTTTACAAAGCTACCCAAGACAATTGGCCTGTTTGGACCAAAACCAACACGCAGATCACCTCTGTCGTCTTGTGCAATGTACACATTTTGGCTGACCCTTTTATCAGTTTCTTTTTCAACTCCATTGCATTCACTCATGAGGTTCAACAAGGCCACGTGCAAGGTCCTGCACCTGAGCCTGGCCAATCTCCAGGATCATACAGGCTGAGGTATGAATGGATTAAGAGCAGCCCTTTGGGTAAGGACTTCGGGGCACCAGCACGTGAAAAACTGGACTTGAGCTAGCAACATGTGCTTGCACCCCAGAAAGCCAGTTTTATGCTGAATCAAAAGAAACAGCCAGTAGGTCAAGGAGGGTGATCCCACCCCTCTACTCTGTCCTCATGAGACCCCACCTGGAGTACTGCATCCAGCAGGTCCAGAGGATGGAACAGCTCTCCTGTAAGGACAGGCTGAGAGAGCTGGGTCGTTAAACCTGCAGAAGACAAGGCTCCAGGGAGACATTATTCCAGCCTTTCATTGTATGAAAGGGGATTACAAGACAGACCAGGGCCTGCAGTGACAGGACAACGGGCAACAGTTTTAAACTGAAGGAGGGTAGGTTTAGAACGTGTGTAAGTAAGACACTGTAGTGAGGGTGGCAAGACACTGGAACAGGCTGTCCAAATAAACTGTGGATATGTTCATGGTAAGAAAGTGCTCAAGGTGAGGTTGGACAGAGCTCTGTGGAACCTGATCTAGTTCATGTCCCTGCCCATGGCAAGGGCGCTGGACTAGATTATCTTTAAAGATCTCTTCCAGCCCAACTACCCTGTGATTCAGTTTCACATAACTCTACTTTCACATAATTCTTTCCACATAATTTTACTTTCAATTTCACAGTTAATAGCAACATTTTCACCTCATGTAACGAGGACTTGAAAATGCACTGAAAGATTTTAACAAACACTTGAAAGACCTTTCAGAACACAGACAGTGTAGGGGCTGGTTGAAAGGTATTTGCCAAGCTTACTTCCCCCAGCACTCAACTCCATCTGTTCAGAACCAGAACATCTCTCCCCAGGAAGGAAATTCCAAGATTCCCAAATTTATATTTATCCCAAGATATAACTGAGTAGAAAGACCTGTGGCATGAGAAGTTCTGCAACTGAGATGGACATTTCAAACTATGAGTTACCTCCCCTTAGAGTAAGTGCATCCATTTCAACAAAATGGAAACCAACCACTTGTCAAACAAAATTAAAAAGCTTGAAATAATCTCTTGAAACTAAAAATGCCTCAGAATTCCAACCCGCCATTTGAAGCATGTTCTAGGCTTTTCAGTTTTTTACAAAATGAGGATCCATGTCCAAAGCAGTCCTAGAAAAAGAGATCTGAGATTGAATTAAGTGCAGTGACAAGCCCAAGCCTTGGCTCCAACACTCATCTCCCTGGATTTTCACTTCTCTCTCCAATATGGTTTTCCTTTTTCTTACAACATTATTTCCTCTCTTCTGCTCTTCCTTACCCTCTCTTCTCCTACATCTCTGAATCACATCGAACACATCTACTTTATTTTGTTATTTTTTACATCCTCTACCCATCCCTAAGCACTTGAAAACCCCAGGTGATCACTACTCACCAGGCCAACCTGATGGGCAGCCTCCGAGTGGTAACAAGCCCAGCTTCCTTCCCCAGCAGCTGCCAGAAAAAAGTACTCTGTGCAGTCCTTATAAATTACTACTCTGAGTTTTGATGATGGATTCCATCTTTTCAAAATACCCAAACTAGCTGGCAATCTGATAAGAGCTCAGCTAGCTACCAATAAAAAGATAATTTCCTTTTCCTCCTCCTCAGGAAAGCCACAAGCAGCACTAGGCTCAGTGGGTTATTTTCAGACCGCTAATGAGCAGTAGCACTTCAGGCAGCAGTCAGAACATCTAGGCTAAGAGAGTCCTAATAATTAAGGGAACTAGTTAATATTTACTATTCTATTATAACCATTATAAACCATCTTTTTAATTATATAGGAGGAGTCTCCCCCATCCCAAGACAAAAGGTGGAGGATAAGAATTTGTTAAGCTTGCCCCAGTCCTTTGCTGTTTGCACTTACTATTAACACTTTTTTTGTGATTGAATCTGTATCAGTAAAAACTATTGCAGCTGGGCCAGAAAAGTTTACTCAGTTGAAGCTGAAATCAAAATAGTCAATTAGCAAATGTGTCCATTCTGCATATAAACATGCAGCTTAAAATACATTAAGGAATGAGCTCTAAGCAAATCAGGAAGCCCTCCTTCCACACTGGATCTCTCGCTGCGCTGAGAAGGCACACTTCCTGAAAGCCTCTCCAGCAGGCAGGGCAGCATATCAAAAGATTGAAGCTGATAGACTTTTTTTTTTTTTTTTTTTAATTACTGGTTTTAAAATCATCCCCCTGTGCTTCACCTATTTGGACTCTGAAAACAGTTTTTCAAAACCTTACCAGTTCAGTTCTTACCCTCTCTAGGTCTTGCCTCAAATGCATGAACATCCTCATGCGAGTATGAATGCTATCTTCTTTTGGCTGCACCAAGCCATTTTCTTCATCCTCCTTGGGAGGAAACAATGGTTTGTTAAAGTTACTTTTTCGTTTTAATTTCCAGTAATTGTAGATGAAGTCTACGGCAAGTTTAGGAAGGCCCAGTTCTCCTGCGACATCCTCCACTTTAACCAGTGAGTAAAACTCCTCTTCCAGCTCTCGGAGCTTCTGGGCTCGCAAACTGGTTTTCTCGCTCTCCGTTTGCTTCTGGTCTGACACACTCTTGGGGTGCTCTTCCACATCCGGCAGCGAATTCTGTTTGTTCTTGCTGTGCTTTAGACAATACGACTTGAACTTGACCTCATCCCCGTCATCCAGGATCGTCTTCATCTCTAAGCTATGCTCAAAGGCACAGGTGACATGAAAGGCAGTGATGCAGCTTTTCACAGAACACTACGGACAAAATAAACCAAATTCAGTACAATAAACCTCAAACAGAAACAAAATAGAAAAAAAAATGATCTTAATTACATAGAAGTCCATCCCTACTAAAACATATTTCCTAAGCACTCCTAAAAATAGCTGTTGATCTTTGTGAAGTTGGTATCATCCAATTTAATATTTTCTTGTTTGTGAACAGTTTTCAATGGACAGACCCTTTCACCCATCCCTAATGCAGACCTTACACATCTCAGCCTTATTCAAAAGAAGGCAACTCAGACTAACTCCTCAATCTCTGGGCTAGGGCCAAGAGCTATGAAGAAGTAGGCATTTATCCAACAGTCACTGGCATTGTAAAGCACTTCTGAACACAGGAAAAACAAAATACAAAAACCCAAAACTGCCCTTCTCAGCCTCACCACGTCAAGTCACTGCAGCCAAGTACGCACCTGAATGCAAGCACCAGTTTTCAGTTTGCATAAACTACAGACTAGAGCCCATCGACTTGGTGGAATGTGAGACACCTTTGTGATTGGCTCCATCCTTTCGGGGCACGCAATACTAACCTGGGAACAACAACAAAAAGCATGGAGAGCAGTTATCAAGGCAGTAAACCCAAGCTGTCCATTCATACCAGAAGAGGAAATAAGACCATGCGTTTATCCCAATGTCAGATCTCCACGTGCTCTTACTTCTCAGCAAGGGACCCTAAAAGATCCTACATAAAAACAGTGTGTGGAATATGACTAGTTTAACCTGGTGGCTAAAAGCGGCAATTCTTCAAAATATTTGAGGTACCTCCAGAATGCCTTACTATCAGCCAGCTGAGAGACTGCAGTAAGTGATGCTTATGTTTACTGCCCTCCCATTCAGTTTTTTGTTTTGGTTGTTTTTCCTGTGCTGCTTTAACAGGTCTAACTTTAGAAATAACAAGATAGGAGCACTTACTCATACTTACCTTCTCTAAGGTCCACAGATCTGCTATGATAGCTACTTCTGCCAGCTCACAGTCTGGGGCAGAACCAGATCTATCAGCTCTGCCTCTTCAGTAAGCACTCCCAAAACCAGAGGTGATTCTAAACCTTTCCTAACTACAGATCATATCAAGTATCATTTGAGAAAGAATACAACAAACTTCTCTTACTGCAAAGCACAGTATATTCTCTTGTGCCAGTTTTGACATACTTAGTCTGGATGATCCATTTGCCTCTGGTAGACCAGATTATGGATATTAATACTAGAAGAAAAATTCAGATAAACACAGGATACCTTTCTTGTTCTTTGTTATACCAACGTCAACATATCCATCATGAGAGAAATCTCTCAGCTGCCTGTTGTCCATGCTGGGAAACAACAGTCATCCTCCCTAATTTGGATACCAAACCAGACATGAACTGTCTCTGCAGGCATCCCTGAGACAGTCCAACAGGCAAGATTTATCTAAGGCCAGAAACAAAAAGTTGGCCAGCTCTGAATGACCAACATGCAGAACCATGCCAGTATGAGAACGGCACAAGGCAGAAGATTTCATGGAGATAATTGTTCTGTCCGAAGCAAGCCAGTGTCCAAAAGCTTAAGATTTTGATGCTCACACCGCACTTCTTGATTCAGCAGTTTGGAGGGCTACCTGTCTGAAGGAGAAATACAATGCTGATTCTAGCTAGGAAGATCTCCATGCTTTCTGTGAACAATTCACCTGAACAGAGCAGACCTGTATCTCCAGTGGTAGGATAGGGGCCTCCTCTCACAGAGGTCAGACCTAAGAACTCAAAGAAAGGCGGCTCCTAGGTCATGCTCTGTGGCGCTGAGGCCAGAATAGAGCCCATTCCTTAAGCGAGCAGTTAAGACTGAGGTATGAACAGCAATTTTTCCTAGAAAACTTTAAAAGCGTCACGCTACAGTAATTTTCATAGATTAACTCCATAATAAACCTGTCCTAGGGAAAACCAAGTTCCATGTATTATGTTAACACATGATAATTAAACTGTTGACTTTACAATTTCCCTTTGGGGGTACATCAACAATCACTTTGACGCACGTATTGATTTTGCAACCTGCTTAATCCCCGAGGAGGAAAGCCTCTGCACCAGCAGACCTGCTCTGTGGGTTAGACTTACCCAGAGACAGCAGTGCTAAGCACATCAAGTCCAAGAGTCACAGTTGCCATGCTCAAACTGAATATTTTTGCTACTCTCTCCTTGTCACTGCATTGCTCCAAGGATCATTTAAGTAGGTGGAAGAGACAGCTTTGGAAGAAATTACTTGGCTCATCATTTCTACATTAAAAGAAGTTGATCAGCAATTCATGAATTAATTACACAAATTGACTGAAATAAGATTTATATTTGTAATAGTACTTCACCCTCTTAGTGAGGTCAACCTGCTGCATGGCATTTCCAGAAGTCTTCATTAGGAAGACAGGCAGATGCTTCAGAGAAGGTCTGGGTTTTACCAGAAAAGGAGACCAGGCAGGCAGTATGAGATGCCCTCATCAGGTAGAGATGACAATTTAATCTGTTGTGACCTTGCTATGAACTGATGAGAACGTGACAAACCTGTCCTTGAGACACATGAATAGTTCCACAAAATCACATCCAACACTCTTAATCATCAGCAAACGTAGCTTTTTTGCTTCCAAAACTACAGAGCTTTTCATCAACCTCACATGACCTTGCTCAAAACAGAGCCAGTTACAAGTCAGGCGGGTACTTCTGAAACAGCACTGCACAAAGACTGACTGCAACTCTTGTCCCAGTTACCACCACACTAAGAGGCAAGACTTCCTTTGGGAATTAAGGGATTGAATCCACTTGTGAGGTTGTTTACACTGTTTTCAAAAAGAAACCAGAATCTTCTGTGCATTTCTCTGGAGACTAAGGGCTTCCCAGCAGGAGCTGGGAATTGACACAGACCTTCTCCCTGTCTGTCTCTTCCCCCTTTAATGCTCTCCCTGCTCCTTCCCCCCAGAGACTCAATGTCAGGAAGCATTTGTGTTGGAAGTATTGTCCACTCTGGCTGTAAGGATGCCTGTTTACATGACCCCACTTTGTAAAAGGACAAAAAGGCACTTAAAGAGTCAGGTGCCACTTATTTATACTGGCCTCCTGCTGCATGCATGTTTCTGATACTCAAAAGAGCAGTCAAGACAGTCTGTTTGAACTTTGCTGCTCAAGAGGGATCCAGGAGAGAGGCCGAACTTTTTGTTCCCCAAAACCTCCCACCCCAGGGCAGAAATGATCCATCTGCTTGAACAAATAACTGCCTTCTCCATTACTTCCTCACCTTGTACCAGGTTACCTTTCGACTACTGTACTCTGAAGGAGTGTGAAGAGTGGGAGAGAGTGAAGACAATGGGCTGTTGAAGCCTCTTCTCTGCAGCTGCTATGCACATGAGCTGCCCTCTTGATTGTCACCCCCAGTCCTCTGCTGCCCTGCTGGGTGCCCCCAGCAGCCCCAAAAGCACAGTGACCTGTGTTGGTGGCTGGAGCATGGCCACCCACAGCAGCACCAAAGGACAGGCTACTTGACACCCTGCCAGTTGCAGCACGAAAAATTACTTTCTACTTCAGCCAACACCACATGAACTGAGGGAGGATGTAACTGTAATGGGCTATCCGAGGCTGAGGAGGACCTCCAATTCCAAAACACTCGGTGTAAGTTTTCTGCTCTCAAGGTTGATTTTTTAAACTTTTTTCTTTCTTTTGAAGAATGCTGTTTAAGAAAAGATGAAATAGACTACACATTTGCACTAAAACACAAAAAAAGATAGAAGAATAAAAGAATATAGACCAACAATTTGGTATGCTTTGGAAAGTAAAAACCTTCATATGTCCCCATCAGCCAAGCAATGGTTAAGAAAGCCTTTGGACAGCATTAGCTCACAAGGAAGGGAGGGAAGAAAGCATTTTAAGACAGTACTGAATGAGCTAATGCAGGAAAACACCTGGTGCAACTGCCTACAATAATGCTAGCCTATACTTGGCAACCCATGGAGTTCCTCTTGGAACAAGACACACGTGTTTATGGCCTACTCCTCTCTGTGTTCTACCTTGCTCCATTTTCTCCGGGCCATAAGAAGAAATGGCAGTGACTTTACCATTCACCTGTCTCTTTTTGGGGAGTTCCGATGTGCTGCGATCTTGGGGAGAAAAAAAATAGATGTATGAGAACACATTCTCCTCCCCTAAAGTATTCACCCTTGGGTCTTCCTTGTCCCCATACCCCGTAAGGCCACGACTCTTCAGGCAGGAACTGACCTGCCATTTTAGCAGGTTCCCAGTGGGTTCTCTGGCAACTGAACTGTTTTACAGTTGAAAACACGGGAGACCAAGAGAGAGAATGGATCTAAGAGGCATTTCTCACCCCTGCTGGCAGGGGTCACCTGCCCACCAACATGCTTGGGCATTGCTGTGGAGGGGAAGAGGTGTCCTCTCCCATCTGGATGCTCTCCCAGAAGTTTCCCTCCCTCAGTCAGGGCGAGGCGGGCAGGTGGGAAGGCAGTGTGCTCCCTGTCCTGCCATCACCTGCTTCCCAAACCTGCAGGTTCCTCTTCCGCTGGGGAGAGCATGAAGGCAATCACATGCAGGAAGGAGCTCTTAGGAAAACCAGTCTGCTTAGAGCCAGGAGAACTTCCAGCCAAGACATTTCAAAAGCAGAGAGAAAAAATAGTGTTCTTTTTTAATTTGAGAATAAAACATTTGGGTTTTTTTCTTCAACTTCTCTCATCCTAAAGGTGTAAGAAATGCCAGAAACTACAAGCAGGACTGGAAGGAAAAGTGCAACTGCAAAGATAACTTCCTTAAAAAGCAAATACACGCCTGAGGCAGAGCTAGGAATTGCACACTTCGTCTGGTTGCTATGTCAAAAAAACCCCACCAAAACCCCAGAATCTTAATATTTGCCTTTAAGTTTTGCAAAAGCGAGGCCTGGCTGTGTTTGGGAGCAGAAGGTTCAGAAAACAAGGCAACCATCCCCATGATGTCATGGTGCTGACAGACCTGTCTACCGCCTCACATTAAACCACCCACCAGAATGGTCCGTGGATCTTACCAGAAAGAAAACAGAAATATTCCAAGTACAATATTAAACACAAATCCCACCTATTCAGAAGTGAACATTCTGATTTACAGCATAATGTGATGCTAAGCTGGATTCAAACTAGAGAAGTGCAAGGCTTCATTATTATACTCTTCATGTATATATACAGATAGATCAAAAAAGCTTTTACTTATAAAAATAACAGAAAATAAAAAGCCTCACCTCCCCACTATTCAGAAAAGTCTTAGTTCAAATCTTATAGAGTCCATCCTATGCAAATAATGCAAGAGCAGACATATGCATGCAAATTATACATCTAACTGAACACACAAATTCATCAGACAACAAGGGAGACGCTGAAGCTGCGGCTGCACAGTGCTAACGCTTTCTAACAGGTCACTCAGAGGCCACAATGACACCAAGAAGTGACTGCCGATTAAATGGAGGGGACAAAGTGATTAATTAATGGAACGTAAGCTGCAGACTCTCCCAGTCCTCACAGACTGTGCAGACTCATCAGAATCAAGTCCAGTATGAAGCCAGACAGATACCTTAAATCACAAGAACATAAAAAAGGCAGAGGAGAGAACGAGAAGGATGAGGACAGAGAGACGTCTATGATCCAAATGAAAAAACAGCAGAAATTTTTACCTCTGGAATCCAGAGAGCACAGCTCACATGTGCCCACTTGGTCCCTGTCCTGGTGGCTTTCATGGCACCTCCTCTTTTGGGACACAGGAGGCACTGAGGATGTATTCCCAGGACACAGGTGCGACACAGCCAGCTCCCTTCGGGTACCTTTAAGATTCCATAGCACGCCTTGGAGGAAAACAGGAATCCAGATCACTGCACTGGGGTGACTTCACATGCAAGCGTTAATATTCACATGGACCAAAGCTTTCAAATAATGAAGGCACAGTTTGGTCTTCATTTATTCCTTCTCTGATTTCTTTACCTTAAAGCAAGTTGAGTGATCAGAGACACAAACAGCCTTTATGCCAGTTTCTCTTTAAAATATGTGCTGGTATTATTTGTTCATAATGAAAGAGGTACCCATTGTGACTGCACAACACTGCTGGTGTTAAGAACCTTTGTCTCTCCTTTTAATGACTTTTAAATTTCTGAAGGAAAAACCATGGACTGTTGCTTTAAATTAGCTTCTGCATCTAATCCTTTTCCAAATCACTATTTCCTACCACTAATAACTTTACCCTCTACCATAATTCTATTTAGATGTAAAGGGATATGAGCTGTTGGAATGAGGACCATTTCCTGCAACATTAAATTACCTTTGTGGTTACAGTTCTGCGAATTGTTACTTTAAATATTTATACAGTATTGCAACAAAAATTGCCACATATACTGAAATTACGAGGTGCATGGTTTTATGCCTACTTCCCGAGTATTGCACTTAACCAGAAAAGGAGAAATTTCTTATTTTTTTGCTAGGTTTGAGAATTAAAACCAAAAAGGAAAAAGAAAAAAAAGTCTGCTTTCCAGTTCAAACTCCTAGCAGTTTGAATCAGAAACTCCTAACTACATATGCATCCAGATACATTCTGGCTGTACATATATACACACACATTAAAGCTGAGTGTATCTAAAACCACTGGCTGCCACCAAGGTCCAATTCCACTCAACTCTCCCAAGTGAAAGCTTTTTTTATCAAAAGGGTGGCTTTCAGAGGAACTCCCACTGTTCCCAACACTATCTCTGGGAACATTGAAAGGCTCAACAAAACAGGATCACTGGCTGTAACCAGCGTTTGAGATTCAAATCTCATAAAATTCCTACACTTGCCCTCCCCAGCCTTCTGATTATAAGATCTCAGCATTTGATATGAAGCGGTATCATAAAACATTGCACATTTATGTCAGGCGTGGGGAGATGAGGACTTTCCTGAATGAAAAGCTGCGTTAATTACGGAAACACCAAGACTAACCTCAACACTATTGTTTTATGTGACAACTGTCGTAAAAAACCCAACAGAGGGAGCTGTAATCTAAATTTTACAAGTGATTTTTTTTACCCTCAAGTGGCACATTCCCACTAGCATTCTCGCTTTTACTAACGTGGAAGAGGCCACAGAGAATCACCTAAGATCGCCTTTAGGTGGTTGGAAATAGACTTAAGCTGTTTTCTGATTTGATCCAGCTAATGAGTGGAGCAGGCCTAGACTACTATCGCAGTAACTTCACCATGTGTTTGCACTGGCACAAGAGGGCACCATGAAGGAGGAAATTTGTCACTCCTCCTTCCCCTCACCTCCAAACTGCGACGACAGACCGACCTAGGGCTACACAGTGAACCAGGGCTGACCCAGACTAAAAGCAGAATGATTTGTTTATTGTTGTTAGGATTAGCTCTGGCCCAGACACGCTCCACAGTTTGTTTCAGGCAGGTGGGGCATGGGAAGGGTCAGGTGGAAGGAGGCAGCAGGCCACCAGCTCTAGCCCAGCTGTCAGCAGTCAACCTCAAGCCTCTGACTGCCAGTTCCTGGTTACTTCTGAAGGGGCAGGAGCAGGGGCTGAAGCAGGCAGCCCAGCTGTAGCCCTGGGCCTGTCACTGGCCTGGTTACTGGTGCTCAGGCTCACACGGCTGCCTCATGCTGTGAATCAGACCAAGAAAGTGGCCAGGCTGGACGCCAGCCCACTGCAAGCAGGGAAATGACAGGTCCTTTTTCAGCCACACACATATACTGGGTATTACTTGCAGTCAGTACAAAAACACATTTTTTGAAAAACCTTCTTAGTTTCTTTTCAATTTACAGAAAACAAGCCTCCCAGAAAAGGACGTACAGGAACCACAGGACTCGCATCCCTGTTCCGATTCTAAGGATACCTCTGCCTGACTATGCCGAGCTCAGCCACTGGGAAGTCTTGGCTGCATCTGAAACGTGAGCAACATTCAGACTGACAGCACAGTCACTGCAGGTGCTTATGCCTTCTAAAAAACATCAGTCTGCTCAAGTGCCTACGTGTAGTTTCAGATGGCTAAATTTGGACAGACTGTGTCTGGCCAATTAACTTGTAAGTCAAGGAAGAAAAACCCCAGCTCCGAAACAAATGATCTTTAGATTCTTCAGACAGGCAAGCCAACATTTCCTGCCCTATTTATCTTCAAAAGCAGGTTTAATGATAGGGGAAAAATTGTTTACGGTTGGAGAGTAAGTACTTTTAAGTCCCAAGAACACACTTTGTGCTCCTATTAGACTGCAGATGTCCACATATTTACCATGCTAGGCCACTTAATCTGCTGTAACTGTCACAAAAATCCCACTTAGTATTGCACCACTCTTCATGCCTAGAAAATCACAAAGTCCTCCAATTAACGTTTAGTACCAGTTCAAATTCCACATTTGCCAAGACAAACAAAGACCAGAGGACAGCGTCAACATTTCTGCAGGCACTAACCTGATGGACACAGATATTACACTTGTCACAAAACACCATGTCATTTCCATCTTCACTGTCAGGGGACCTGCACACATCACAGATGACATCTTCATCATATTCAATACCCAATCCTTCTTCAGTCTCAATAGCGTGATTCATGTTCTCATGGCAGTGCCGCTCCAGCACTTCAATTGTCTTTTCCATTGTGTTTTCATCCAGGGGCCCACATCCTGCAACAAAGAACAGGGCAGGGGAACGAGTGACGTTCAGTCAGGTGCCCCGACTGAGTCTGAGATGCAGGAAGACTGAAGGGTGACTTCTAGCAACTAAAGCAGTAGACACGGCGTCTTCTCTCCCGTCACACACATTAAAAACGAAATACACACTGTTGGCAATCCGTACTGTCTGCTCACTTGAACGCTACACGCTATACACACTTGCCACTAATCACACGTAGCATAAGCAGAACTACTTAAAAAGTATTTGCTATGAGACTGGTCCTCAGCTTGCAGCTTCACAATGTATGCTGCATAAGAACTCCCATGATGTCCACAGCTACAAGAAATCTCCAAACTGCATCCTCTCAAAATCCTCAGTCACGGATGCTGCTGCTGCCCACAGTTTGCTATTTACTTCATGGGCTGGGATATTCATATAACATCAATATCAGAGGCTAACACTTTAACTGCTGGACGAGGCACAAGAATATTACTACTAATTTGGATCCCTTATTGCAACCGATAAACAGGGAGATGGGAAAGAGACATGACTGCTGATACCAAGTGTCTTCTGCTATTAAAATGTTCTCACAGGTCCTGGATATTTTCTCACTTACTGAATTAATAGATTACTGAATCTTTCAGGTGGGAAGAGACCTTCAGAGGGCTTCAGCCTGATCTCCAACCCCAAGCAGAATCAACAGTGAATCCAGGAAAAGCTGTTGTTCAAAAGACATATCTAGTCAGACCTTGAAAACGTCCATGGATGGACAACTGCCCCGTAGAAAAAGCTCTGGTTTTGCTAACAGCATCCTTGTATGCCTGGGAAGCTCGTCCTTGCTTCTGCCTCTTACATCCTTTGGCACTGGAGCTTAGTCATGAGTTCCCTCCTTCACCAAGCTGGTCTACTGACTTCTGCTTGTTTTTCGGAACGTCTGGATGGATCACTCTTGTGCTTGGAGAACACTGTCCTTAAAGACCTGCTAGCTTTCTTCAGCAGTTCCACTCTTCAGAGCTGCCTCCCACATCACGCCTACCAGTTATCCAAATAAGTAGAAACCTGGTCTCCTGAAGTCCAGCACCAGAGTTCTACTTCCTTTCCTCAGTCATCACTACTTCATAGCTACTACAGCCAAGCCACCATCTATTATCACATCCCTGGAGGTTCTTCCTTGGTTGTGAACAGCAAATCCAGGAGATGCCCAATATCTCCCTCTTCTGCCCACTTGTCCTTCCTAAAGGGCCTACAATCACCCATGGAAGAATGCCAGCCACACAGGCTATTCCACCACAACTCAGTTGTTCCAATGATAATTCCAAGATTATCTTCCATCTCATAGCTCTCTATAACTACAATTTGCATGGAAAAAAAGTAAGTTTACTGAGCTGATTTTAAATGGGCTAACGTGTGGAACTTAATTATTCTGTTAAGAACACAGCATGAAAGCTCTCAGAACTCTGAATTTGTAGCAATAATGTGTTCAAGCTTAAAAAATTGAAACATCTGCTTTTCCTACATAAAATTCTTAACTTTTGAAGTCGTACAATTAATTCCACCTGGTGTGGGGTTTTTCTCTCCTGCCTCAGTCTGCAGAAGTTGCACACAATTTTGGATGTGAAGAAGTTTTCAGGCACACCGAGTAAAACATCAAACATTAACAGATCGAGCAAGTCATTATTTTAACCATTTTTACCCCCTGTTTTGCTTAGCATTTCCATTCAATTCTCATGCAGCCATCTTTAAGAGATCTCGCACAGCAGACTACAACTCAAACCGGAGAAATTAACTGCTGCTTTTAAAATTAGAACATGTTGTGAAATTACCCATTTCTGTAAGCTCTTCATTTAGCTCCTGAAGCCAAAAGATGTCCATGTCATCCAAGTCATAGCGACACACAGATTCTGCGAGTTCCAAGATGTTGATGTAGCCTGGTTCTGTGGGCTCTTGGCTGGAGCAGTGGATGTATTTCCTGGGTCGTGTATACAGTACTTCTTTCACCTTTTCTGCTACAACCCTAGAGTGAAAGTAAAATAAGAAATGGAGAGCTACAGCTTTTAAAGATCTATCCTTGAAAGACATTAAATACATGCTGTAAGTGCAAAGAAACCTAGTGTTTCATGGATTTTAAACTAGCCAGTAAGTACAGCCAGGCTAGAGAGACAGGATTCTTTAAATGTCATTTCTTCACACAAAATGTGCTAAGGTTTGCTACGTATAAAGAATCCTTTTTAAAATGTAAGCCTATGCATATGATTTTCAATTTAACAAATGCTACTAAGTGTGGTGACACAAGTGGTTTTGAAACCCACAGAAATTATTATGCACAAACCCCCCTACAATCTTTGTTCTATATCCTTAAATGATAGAAGGAAATCCTGCCAACAGATTTCTTGAAAATACCAGCTTTTTCACGGAAGCTTAATTTATTCTGCTGCAGTGTGTGTGCCCATGTATGGAGAAATGCTTGCTCTTCATTTGGGATAAACAGTCTACCCTTATTTTGTAAATGACACTTTATCCACATAACAAATGTATTATTTTTGCTATGTAAGAATCATTCTGATGCCAAGGCAAAAATGTAAAGGGGAAAACACTGCTAAAAACCATCCAGGAAGCAAGGGAGAAAAACATTGGTATTTTCGATCTTTCAATTATTTTAAGAGATAAAACTCAGCATTTGATTAGTAAGCTAGCCTATGGGAATGGAAAGACTGACCATAGCTAGATAAAGTCAGTTTTTCTCTGAATTCAACACAAGAGGCCCTGCATGTGAAAGGAAGCCAGAAAGATACTGAATGGCACGGTGCCACGCCTGAGCAGCTCTGCACACTCTCTAGAGCTAACCCTCCACAGCACCAGGAGAAAAGAGAAGTTGTGGAAAATAAGGCAAAATGAATAAAGGAGCAAGCAGCAGTCAAGCAGTATCCCACATAATTCGTATTCGACAACGCGGGTTGTCAGTGTTAGCACAAACCATGCTCTTCTGCCATTCTTCCTCCATCCTGCTATTTTTTTTCCTTGTGAGCTTTTCTTTTCCCTGGTCCAGCCAAATCTATAGCAATTTTTTTCCTCTAATGTAATACTGCTAGTATGAGATGCAATATATTTATTTTTAATAACTTGGTACTGACAATAGCCCCAGTGGAAATTAAATTATGCTGGCATCAGCACATCCACTGGACAATTCATTTATCTTCGTCTCAAAGACCATGCTGGCAATAACATTTCTATGATGAAACATACTCTGCTTCCACCAGGAAGGGCTGCAGGACTACGGTGTTGTATTTTCCTAGTCTAAGCACAGTGTGAGAGAACAAAAGGTTATTTATCTATCTCATGAAGCTGAGATCACAAAACTTCTATAACGTTAAGGCAGCTATCTGCAGTGAGAGAAGACAGAAAGGGTTAAAGCTTTGGCAACAATAACTAACTAAATTATGTGAACAAATGAGTAACTTCATCGGGTACTGCATGCCTACTGCTCTATGTCATCACACTTTATAGGGAAGCCTTTCAAGTAACGTGTGTGAGATTTTTTTAAAATTTATTAAACTTACTATACTGAAATAAGAAAAGTTTTAATCCATAGCACTGTGTGACCTAGGTTAAAAAGATGCCCCTTTTAAAACTCACAATGTCTATACTATAACAGAGCACAGACAGAACCAAATGGGGACTGAAGTACCACAGAAACACTTTCCAAATTGGTACTTGCTTGGTCTAAGAACATGCCTGAAGGCGGCTGCACTGCAGATTTAAATATAATTACATAGAAAAGCTGACTGCACTTAGACAACTTAGTTTTGAGAGACCATCTTTGCCAAGTTGACATTTTAGGCAGGTGACCTGTGCCTCATGACCATTACCTGAGAGAAGGCTGTGGAATAGTTTCTGGACTGGCTGGAACTTGAACCCCTTTCTCCCATTCTTGTTTCCACGTGTCTGCGAAGATGTAATATTCATCAGGGTTGACATGGTGAGAATCTGGTAGTTTCATGGCACTAATGAGATCCTTGCGGAACACCTGCAGGAAACACCAGGGAAGAGTGGTTGAGAAAGAGGTTGTGCTAAAGGAAGCAGCAGGTATTCTTCTTAATCTACACTGAAACGATGCATATACCTTGATAATTTTTCAAAGAGTACCAATGCACAAACAAGTCAATCTGAAATTACCTAGATGATTAACTCTCTTTGTATCAGGTGCAGCATGGCAAGAAGTTTATGCCACCTCAACACCATGCTGCTGCCCGTAGGCTGATGAGAAGGAAGCAGGCTGTTACAAGTGACCAAGGAGAGGGGAAAGGACACCTGTATCTGATTTACACTCCTCACCATAGCCCTCACCAATCACTTATTTTACTTGCCCGTCTGTCAGCTTCACCCCAGCTTAGATACAAGGCAGCATATCCTTTTCCTTCACTCAGTTTAGCCACTTTAAACTGTCATATTCATCATGGGCTACGAGCAGTTGCCATGGCGAAATTGATGTATAGGCACTTGTTCATTTATTAAAACCACTCCAAGTTTTACTGGTCAAGATCAAAGATGAAGAGCGGCCTTTGCTGAAAGAGGAGTGCTGTGTTGCTCCCTGTGATGCAGGCAGTGACACAATCCCACCTCAGCATCTTTTAGCAAACTTCTACGATGCGATGCCCAGCAGGAGACAAAGCAAACCCATCGTGACAAAACTCCAGCCCTAGCATTCAACTCCAGGCTCAAGAGGATTAAGTCTTTACAAGCATGCAATCATCATTATCAGTCATCTTAAAGCTTATTGAATGTCCATGTCCATCAAATACACCTCCCTACAATTTAAAAAAGGGCATCTGCATCCTTTGTGGTTTGGTGTGGGTTTTTTTTTTTTCCCCCTGCACTGTTACACTGCACCAGTTTAACTTTCATAAAAGCAAAACAGTGACTGTGGCTTGGTGTTAGGGCAGTCTCACATCTAATTAACTTTATTATCATAACAAGAAATCAAATCCCCCAAAGGCCAATAAAACAAAACAGAAAAAATCCCTACAATAAGCTGTGACAGGTTGAACTCTCTTCTTACTAATTCAGTTTTCTAACCAGAAGAGTAATAAAGTATCTCAGAGCCAAATATCTTCGTGTACCCTTTTCAATTTGACAGCACCAGACTGGTTATGCCTACTGCAAAAATTCTCAGCTGTTCCTGGAAATCATCAAGTAAACATAATTTCAAAAGGCACTGTGCTAAAAGCAGGTATTGAATCGGCTGCTGGTGACCTGGCACATGGGCGTTACTCCATTACGTCCCACAACCACGGCTCACGTGGGCGGCCAGGAGAGCGAGCTGACCCAGGGAATGCAAAACCACAGCCTCAAGGCTCTCTTCTTTGCTGCTGACGCATTCCTTACCTGCTCTGGTTCAGACCAGACTGCTGGCTGCTGTCTTGTGGGTAAAACTCCTCAAGTACCTAACAGGCTCGTCATTCAGATTTTAATATAGGAGTGAAAGCATTAAGACTGCAAGCATCCATTTTTTTCCCAAGCACTATATGTACACACCAAAAATAAAAAGTCAAATGTATTACACCACTTAAAAAGCGTTTTCGTGTTCTGTGTTACAGGTACAGAACCAGGATTATGAGAAACACTAACATGGCACAATTCCCAAGAGCCCCAAAAAGAAAAAGAAAAAAAAAATCCGATAAATGAGCAGTGCAATGACTGGTTTAATTACCAGAAAAGATATTCCTCAAGCCTTATCTGAGGTAAGTGCTTTACAAACTACTTTTTAATCCAATTACTGAACATAGGAGAGTGCTTCATATCAAGCCCACTATTTTTTAAACACTAGATGAAAAATGCTATTAAAGGTATCAGTATTCTAACTATATTGTTTAGCAGCAAATTTATCTCCTGATTACCTATTATATATGTGAACTGTATCATCTGTATTTTTAAAGCACAAATTCCGTGGAGTATGGACTTCTTAGTGATTGGTGGTTTTTTTTGTTTGTTTTTTTTTAAACTTGTATATGGTATTGACCACACCATCACCACACCCTAATATTAAGTTCTCTGCTTCAAATTTCTAAAAACTATGATAGATGTATCACTGAAGGTCAAAAATTTAACCAAAAATTTAACCAATATAAGCATAACCGTTATGATTCCAGGGACTCATTGCACTGTTTTCCCAGGTATGAAGAGGCAATTCTTATGATGTCTGGGTTGAGTTTTGGGGTGCTTTAAGTTTTCAACAATCTCAAGCACTCGTCATTCTTCATTTCTTCACATGTGGCCAAGAAGGGTCTTCCAAAAGTAAAACACTCCGAGGACAACATATAAGAACACTCACTCTGTATTTCCTTTGTTGTTAAAGCAAACCAAAGCACCCAGAGGGACCCAAAGAGAGTTTTCTGACAAATCAAGTAAACTTTACTCCAGCAGTCAAGTCTCAAGGCTATGAACTAAGCCATCTCAAAGAGCAGACCTAGTCCTTTGGGACTTAGATAGCCAGCTTTTCCTCATGGTCATTTATTTTTGGACACTTATTTGAAAAACAATACAGCTCCTTCACTAACTGTATCCATAAAGCAACAGCGACCACACTCCACAGCAAATACTTCTCTTGGCAAGGACCACCTGCACTTCCACAGTTAGACCGTGAAGCTCAGCAATCATCCTTCAGTCACCCAAAAGCAACTCTGTTTCTTACCACATGTAAAACACAACCCTTCAACTTTAACGTCATCTCAAACACCACACATATTGAGAAGACTTGCTAAGAAACTAATAATTTCATGCTTTAGACCTGGGGCTTAAATCTAGAAGAGACCTTGTTTTTAAGTCAAGAGTAGCTTTTTGCTGCTCTGCAGTAAAAGTCTGCCTGGATTTGCTGAGGCAATGAGAACTTCCTAGTCACCTCTGCAGAGATGCACTGTCATCTCTAAAGCCTTTAAAAGCCAAATTCTACAAAAATTCCTCAGAAATAAGGATAGTCTGCTCCCCCATGGCACTAACACACCAAGCAACAACGGTATCACGGATCTGGGGAAGGAAAATATGGCTCACACGTTTCATTTGCTTTCCAGACTTCCACGTCTTATTTGGAAATTATGTTAAAAGAGTATGTCCAAGGAAAATTAACTGCTTAGAATCCATTCATAAATGCATGACCAAAAGCTGTCTATGACTTTAGCCCAAACTCCTTCTGGAAGCACTCTGTGAAAGCTCTCTATAATATTCCTCACAGGACCCTCCTGTGCTTGCTCTGTGAATAAATCAAGCCAATGAAACAAAGAACACTATTTTGTGTGAAGTATCATTATCCACTGCAGATGACAGAGGATATGAGTAATGCTATAGAGAATTACAGTAAAGTATTAACATCAAAAACAGAGTGGGTCTGGACACTACAATAGCCTTCTACAAACCCCATCTTCACTGAACAATTCAAACATCAGATCTGCACAGACTGTCAGGCAGCTTTTGTTCACGATCATTGCAAAGCTCAAGTAACATAAAAGAGACAAGAAAAAATAATAGTCAAATACCTTTTCCAATACCCTTCTACAAGCTGACTGATGCCATTGCTCATTCACCTTCTCTTGCCAAATGCACGTGTGAGGGGAAACAAATGGATTGTATCATCTCTGAAGATTGGAAAGAAAAACAGTACTACTTCTTGTGGCACTCTGAACTTTTAGGTAGGTTGATCACCTGCTTACAAACCCCTGACAAGGGTAGGCAGCTGGTCACAGGCACCTAGGCCCCCACTGGGAACCCCACCTCAAAGGTTTAAGTAAATTATGAGTTAACTGCCCTATTGTTACAGTCAAAGCAGGATTTCTGCTGGATTGCATCTAATTGCTCCAGGCATAAGGCTTCCCCTCTGCCTGGCAGAGCCCCAGCAAGTCCTCCTTTCCTCCACTTCGGCAGTCAGGAGACCCACTGCTCCAGAAACAGAGCCACGATTTTTAAAAGGTAGGGGGGAACTACTGTGCCCCGTCCTGTCCCCCCTCCAAGAACATACTCTCAGAAATCTTTTACAGAAAGAGAGGATACTAGCTCTTGTTCCATGCTGCTAACCCCAGAAAGCTGAAAAAGGTAGCATTTTCTTGGATCTATGGCCGTCTTCACAACCCATCTCAAAGGCCAACTCTGAAATTGGTGCCAAACACTAAAACTACAGTGATCACCTTCTGTAAAGTGCAAAGCAAATTACACAAGAGTTCTCCATCATATTTGGGGTCAGTCTGTTTTTATTCACCTTTGAAAGGATCTAGTAACTTTTTTATTCCCATAAGCATTAAAGTTTATTCCACTATTGTAGCTCTCAAGCAGAACACCCTCAGCAAAATTTAAACACACCTATAAAGCACTTTACACTTAAAATTACCTCCTAAATAATAAAACACACACCAAATTGTAAGATGACCTATTACAAGTGTAATATAGCCACACAGATTCTAAGCACAGTTTAATCTTTGTATAGATGTTCCACAGTAAGTGCAAAAGACTGCCCCTTTACAGAGGATGAAGCTCAAAGGACAAAATGTGGTGGGCTCATCCTGGAGAGCTAGAATTTTTCCTCATTACTACACTGCAGTCTGGACATGAAGTTTCTGAATTAAGAATTCTGAATTTCTGAATTATTATACTGTCTTGATTCTCCAGACTTCTCTATATGCTTTTTGTTTGGCTACGTGGGTTTTTCCTTTGGTAACAAAGTAAATAAAAGGCAAGAATTTTTAAATGGAAATGAAGCTACAGTTCCAGGCATGAATATGGAACGGACTGACAAACTTCAGAAGTTAAAAAAGCTGGGACAGACAGCAATAAGTGTAGCACTGAATTTCTAGTTCTCAAACATCCACACAATTTGGGCACGCACTGGAGTAAATCCTAACGTTTGAATCCTTACTCCCTACAACTACTTATCCAGGACTCAAGCAAATAAAATATGCTTCTAAGTAGCCATGTATCTTCCTAGTCTCATTTACAAGCATGTATAGGAAAAGCCAGGATATCGGATACTAAAATCAGCCCTATATAACATCATGTCTCTGACAGTATCTCAAGAGCCAGAAGAATGTGCAAGAACACATCAGATTTCCTTCTGGCTGCTAATCAGGCACAAGCTTCAGATTTTGGGATTAATCCTAAACAAGCCATTCAGAAAAGGATATTAATTTATACAGATAGTTAGAAAAATCTGTACTCGTTATCATCTGTCTGATTCCTTTTTTAATCTTGTTTAATTCTCAGTCCCAACAACTTCCTGTAGCAGATGAGCCTTCATAGTCTGATAATACTATGCAGGGAAAGGATTATGCTTTCAACTGCTACAAATTTCCTAACTTTTGGCCTCATTTGTCCCTCCCCCCACCTTTCCTTCCCAGCTCCTCCATCACAAAGACAGGCAGGAGTGAAGCTCTAGCTCTGCTGCTTCCAGACCATTCATACTTCAATGCTACTCCTGCTCATTCACTTCCAAAGGTAAAACAGCTCTGCCTGTTCAGAGGCAAGGCAAGCTTTTCCATGCCCCTGTGCATTTGGGTCACCTCTTGCTAAAGAGTTCATATAGCCTGAGATCATATCTCAAAGGAAAAAAGGTCATAAAAATAACCAACAAGGTTGCACCTCTGACTTACATAAAAGTATTGTAAATTTTTTTTGTTTTTGTTACACCAACTAACCCTAGCAGGCTAAAAAGCAGCTCACTGAAATGTGTACAGCATGTTCACCAGAGGTCTGGAGAAGCCTTTACAGACATTCAAGTTCGTTCAGGATTTTCTAAGGTAAAGGTGTGTAGACAAAGTAAACAGCCTCCTACCCTACAACCACGGGATATACAAAGCAATGATTTAACCACGCTGCCTATTCACCTTCAGACCAAACCCAACTACTTTCAAACTGCAAAAAGAATCAATTTTCTGCCAAGAGTCCCGTCTGACAGGATGCTCCTCTGGATCAAGTCCTGCAATTTATGTGGCAGTCAAATGCCATGAAGAAAACTTTCACATACCCAAACAATGAAAGCAGACCACTGACTTGCACAAGACAAGCCACATTTCACATGATAACACAGCTATCACTATCAGCAAAGTGGGATTAAAAACTGCCCTTGCTGTGACATTCAAAACCATATTTGCAAAGAGAAGTAAAATACTGCCATCTTGTATGGGAAGGGTTAAGAAAAGCACAATACTAACTTTTTTACAATTTCAAGAGGGAAAGAGGACTGGAAAAAAAAGTACATGTAAGCTTCAGTGTCTAAAGACCTCTTAGGCTCTTTTGTGACCCCACTAGCCTAAGGGAAAAGAAACAGTCAGACAGGTCCAGCTAATACGTTTTCCCTGCAAAAATTATTCCAACTACTCTGCCATCATTTTCTGCTGCAGCTTCCACGGAGACAGAGACAGGAAGCTGCAAAGCACAGGCTTCATGCTGAGCCAGACATCCAAATGCTTCCCACCCTGCTACTCCCACACTGCCTACTGCTCAGGCCTCCGAGCCCCTCCTCTCTACACTTAAATCTGTGAGGGGCAACACCACACACAGCATGAGGCCAACATAATCATAAAGGTCTGAAAAACTGTTACGACTTATAGTACTGGTGTGCCTGTAACCTAAACAGAATTTATTTATACAAAGCAAATGCTGATTGGATAGCAGAATTTTTAAGTCACTGTTTTAGTAGTTTGCAATAGATTGTAATCCAGGAGGGGAGCACCACGAAAGGGCCACAGTCTTGCTTTTGAAATTACACAGAGAAATACACTGGTCTGAAGAAGCGCCACTACAGGCTTGCCCTCTTCTCACCTTCTTCTCCAAGGAGGAGAAGAGGGTAAGCAGGCCCCAGGTCTGACCCAGTAACATCCCTCTGGCATTGATGTAAACCCCTGGGTAAGTCAGGCTCTAGGAATGGGCTTTGACATTTGCACTCTGGCACTGCACCCCGCTGCCTGCAGTAGCATCAGGTGACCTCACCCCACTGAGGCCATCCCTGCACCCACCTCCATCCTGAAGCACCCGGGAGGCGACTCAAGACAGAGCAGCCCTCAACTGCAGCCACTCACCACCTTCTGCAGGCGACCACAGCACACACAGACAAGTCCTGTGAACCAACTGACAGACACACTAATTTGCTTGTTGGTTACAGTACCAAAACCAAACTCTATTTGGAGAGAGAACCCAGGTGCTTGGGTTGGGCTGGAGATGGCAGAGGAACTGGAAAAAAGCCTATACATTCACATGTGATTTAATTGAGAAAGCCAGGCTTTCTGGTATGAAACAAAAATTAATGTATGAAGACCACGAGCAAAAAGATTCCCAAACAGCTATTTATAGCTTTGACCTTTTAGATTTTCTGCTTCAGTAACTCAAGAAACAGCCTGCTGCCTGGCAAGCAGAGGTGAATGAAAGGAGAGCAATGCCAAGTTGTTAAAGAGAGCCCTTGCTAAAGGGATGCTGACAGCCTGATATTTTAAATTTCTATCTAATAGATATTAGACAACTATTACTACAATAAACTTGTGGAATCACAACATGATTTTTCGAAGGGTGCACAGTAGGGTCTCTTTTCAGCCTTTGCTTTACACCCTTGTCACCACATGGTGCATAAAAAATCAATTGCAATGCTCTGCTGACAACAGCATTTCATGTAATACACTCTCCAGCATATGCTTTTCAAGGGGTTGGAAGGAGTCCTTGCTTCTAACAGAAGGAAAAGAAACTGGAAGGACAGCCTAGACACTTATATACCATCAGTAGAGATTATTACTGTCACCTTCATTTCCATTCCCTTTCCCAAAGGACTTTTTTTTTAGGGTTGTTTTAAATACTGTAGTTGGTATACTCCTCCAGAAGAGGACATATTCTAAAGTTTTAGTGTTTTTTGGTTGGCTATGTGTGTTTTTTTTTCCTCTCCCCCCATCTTCATCCAGGAGGAAGATCTTACATGAAAGACAACAAAAAGATGCCAGTATTACTGGAAGGATGATGTTATGAAACACATCTTAAGTCTACATAGTCCCGATTTTGTTATTCAAAGTTTCATATTTTCAGGCATTAAATAGTTCAATATTTTGTCTTGGAACATGCAGAAAGCAGCAAAGATGCACTCAAGAGGAGGAACTGAAAACATTGCTCCTTTTTGCTAGAAGTGAACCGAATACTTGTATGCTATAGGCATTGACCACATCTTTGCAATTATTGTTTATAATTAATTAGAATTCTTTTAGAAATTAATCTGCGAGTTTTTTTCAATTGGCTTGTGATAAAAACGACGCTTCCAAAGAAAGGATGTGTTCTGTAACATCTACCTTGTTCTTACCAAACCAAACTCATCTATTTAGCAGCATTTAGAAAAGCAAGAAGCACATTTGCTGAATAGCTTTTGCTGTATAAGCACAATCTGTATATTCTATGATACTCTTTGCAATAGTACCTAAACAGGTAAAAAGCTGCTGGTATAGTGCACAAAATTACTTCTCAGACATAACTCTCAGCTTCAAAATCTAGAAAAACAAAGTGGAGTTTGTCAGTCTCTTTTTTCAGTAACCTCAGGCATCAACAGTCACACCAGCATGCTGAAGGACTCATTCAGAGGGAATGTCATAGCAAGTACGGGGAATTAGCTACAAGAAACATTTCTCCCATTTGCAGTTATCATCTTACTTCAGCCCTTAAGAAAGCAGGCAGCAAATCTGGAGAAGGCAGCCCACAAATCCTCCCGAAAAGGGCTGCCAGTGGAATGGCTCACAGGATGAATTTGAGCACAGCACTGAGCATAACTGCCAATTCATCCAACCGGTGAGTGCAGATGCAGTCACAGTGCAGTGACAGGTGTAGCAGTCCCAACAGGTGGGGATAGCAGAATGAAAACACCTTATTGCAGGTAGAAAGTTAAGAGAGAAAGTGACAGATCAGTAAGCCCTGTTCACACATATCCTGCCCACTTAATGTGCCGCTGTTTTATCCTAAAGCAGAGAAAGTCTCCTTCCCATACACACACACGAACTGCTTCTTTCTCTGGCATGCTCTCAAACCATAAGATCATCCCAGATTTTTCAGTTTCAAAATGAGACTAAATTTCAGGGCAAGAAAGAACTCATGTTACTGTCTGCAAATGCCATAAGTCATTCTGGGACATCAAACACCATAGCTCCTACAATACTCGCGCAGTGGGGAAACAGTCTCGTGGAGAATTTGACAGGTGACAAAAGGACTCACTGGCACTAGTTCAAAGCTCACAATTTCAAGGCTTAGAAACATGAAAACTACGTGACAAAAAACCTACCAGCAACCAATCTTTAACCCTGGTTCTTACCTCAGCAGGTTTCTTCTGTTCATTTGCTGGTGTTTTTGACTTGCTCCTGTATTTAGAACAGGAAGAAAAGGAAGTGGAAGGACCTGTTTAAAAAAAAAAAAAAAAAAAAAAGGACCATTATAGATCATTTCAATTCATTCACTCTCTAGTAAAGCACAAGGCACTTCAATCTCTTGAATTATCATAACTTTTTGACAAGACGTGGGCAAAAAACTTAGGCAGTCTGTAGGCTTGATTACAGCTCCTCCTGTTCCACTTGTTCTTTGTAAAACCACAGCACACTGAGTTTATAGTACATTCTGCTCTGTCCAATGCAAGCAGAAGTAAACAGACAAGCAGGCAGATCACTTTTCTTCATCTCCTTTCTAACAAAGTGGAAGGAGGAGCAAAACCAACGACAGAGTTTGCAAGTGCTAAAAAAACCCAAACCAACAACAACAAAAAAGCAATAGTACTAAAGTGTGCTGATGAGAGATGCAAAAAAAAAAATCATGGTGTGATGGCTAGACATTTCTGGGCAAGATGTTATTTCAGTACAGGACAGCCTGATGACTTGCAATGAAGATGACAATGAATCATCGTTACGTGTGGAATTACTGTACAGGTACACGTTTATGAGAAACAAATGCAACCTCAGGCAGATGTGTACTAAGGAACACTTAAAATACATCTTTATTAAACTGTATAACAGATCAAAGTCGAGTAGATCAAGGACTAGTATAAAAGAACAATCAATATACTGGTTATAAACATCTTATATATAGCTAACATATAAATGCTCAAATAGCTTGCCACCTCCAGTATTTTAAAGTGGAGGCTCTGCAAAACAAGAGACAACCGATCTCCTTTTAAAAAAAGTAAGTACCAAATAGGACCCTGGACAGTACAATTTCTGTTGAATTACAGATTTCTTTTTCCCAGCTCTGAAAGGGAAGGACAGACAAGTTTGCCTTCAAACTCTAAGTAGACTCAAAACTCCCCCCAGGTTTACAGGACCCTTCACCTCATTTTCTTCCTGTAACAGGATTCAGAAAGCCAAAGACCACAGAACACAAAAAGAAATCAAGCAAGAAACATCTTTCTTAAATTTTAAGAGGTGAAATGGTTTGCCCTCAAACCACAGAAGGAAACCACAAGGGGGTGACAGACCAAAGAAAAACTGGTAGGTATTACTTACTCTCATTGTCTGAACTGTCACTGGTGCTTAGATGCCTGTGGCGTTTCATCCTGACGCATCCTAAGGAGAAAAAAAAAGTTGATGGCAACCATTCTACCAGAAAACCCCCGGCTGCTGGCTGACGCCAAGCTCTCTGCACTGAAGGCAAAGCGCCTCTGAAGAGCTTTCAAACACGGAAGCAGTCTCAGTTCAGCCACTACACCATTTTTCTGCAAGCAACTATTAGAGCACGGGACTGCCTGTGAAACTGAGCACCCTCCAGACCCGCATGCCTCTGCTGGGCAAAGCTTGCTCTGGTTTCTGCAGAGAGGAGCACAACCGCCAGCTGATTCCCGGCAGGGCGTGAGCGGCGCTCCGCTCTCCGAGGAGACTCAATGTCCCATCTGTTCAGCCAGAGGAAGAGTTGCCATGGTGCCAGTCGCTAGCTGAGAGATGGGTGGAGGCCAGGAAATAAGGTGGATGCACACAGCAAGGCAAGGATTTAGAAATAAAACTCACTTTGAAAAACAAGCCAAAAAAGAAGAGAGGAAAAAACTCCGAAGGTATCCACACAAGATAGAAGGCAGATTTTAAACAGGGACAACGCAGAAAATGGTGGCTGATACTGTTTAATTTAAATCATCTGATCATCGCAGAGTTCACAAGAAATGTCGTCTTCAGAAGTTTGAGAAGTGATCAAGAGCACTGCTGAGAAATACTTCTGTGGTGCTGCACCGGTTCCATTAGAAAAGGTATGGAGCTTTTTGAAATTGATTTTCAAAATTAACACAGACAGAGAACAGGTAAGAAGAAAATTCTGCACTGCTACTTGATAAAAGAAAGATCAAGTACTGATCAGCTACGCACTCTAAACAAGTGCCAACAGAAATCCATACACATTCCTAGAAGTCCTGCCATTCCATAATATACCATGTCACATTTGTTAAACAAGAACTAATAATAGTTTACAATTAATAACAGTAAAATCAGCTCTATCTTTTTAATTGATTGAATGAGCAAATCATTAGAGAAACGTAGTAAAAAATGAGTCTGCAAGAGTAGACACCAACTTGGGTTTTTTTGTTGTTGCTGTAAGCAGAAGACAGGCACAAGTAGGTTACAGACAGTTGAACCTGAGATGTCTGCAGTATCAGAAGTGCCAGCCTGGCCACACCTGAAATGTAAAAGCAACTTCCTTTCTTAAACAAAACCACACATCGCTAAAAAGACCCAACACAGCTAAATATCCCATTTGATAAACCCTCCGGAGTTAGTTATTCTAGTTAGTTACTCTACAATGGGTCTTGAGATTATCCAAAGAGCATGGGATAAACAATATTTTCAGGTAAAAGCAGCCTCTCCAAAGGCTTTGAAAAGATTGCAATTGAATTGTTTGCTGTGCAAACATTGAATTTAGTGGAAATTTTCAGCAGCCTTTATATTTAAGAGTGAGTTTACTGAATCTAAATGCAATGATGACTCTGAAGTTCAGAATGATCCTTTTAACGTATGTGTTACAAAAACACATTGCCCATGCTCTTGGAAGCTGGAAAAGGAAGCAATGTGTGCACTTTACAAGCAGGTAGATACAAGACTTTGGCATCAGGTATTTACCCTGGGGTAAGGACAGACAGACACAGTGGCCAACAGGACAGGACATCATCCATAGGTGTAATTTGTTATCAATTAGGGGAGCTATACACTCCTACTGCACAACGATTCATTTCACAGCAATTCACCTTCTCAAACCACAAGCAACCTCGGGAGGCAAGGCAGCCACACCAGATACAGACACCAGTGTCAAACCCAAGATTCACATCAAAAACAGAACACCCAGAAGGCCAAAGGACTCCACTTCCAGCTTGTGCAAGCACCTGTCAGATGAAGAAACATCCATGTATGTCTTAGGCAAAAGCTGTTTGATGGGTAAAAGGCACTTGGGCCAGAAGGGCCTGTCTTTGTGCATGTTTTGGGGGCATCAGACTTGAAGTTATCTCCCGGGTAGCGATGATTAGAAGACTACTTTCATCTTCCCAACTCGTGTAGTTTAAAGGCATGGACTTTAATCAAGAGCAAGTAAAATGGTATTGTCTGTTTGAGAGCTTGTACTCCAGCAGCCAAACCCAGCCTCCAGGAGCATACAACCCTCCCCTAAAAAGGAGCAGGTTCTGCCTGTGGCAACACCTCCTCTGCTGGCAACCTTCAGTTCCAAACAGCCCTGGCTTATGGGCCATCGGGCATGTTACAAGACCTTGGCAGATGATGAAAGATGCAACAAGGTGTGCCAAGCAGTATTCCCTGCTTCCATTCCTTAGCAAGAGACCCAAGTGCTTGCTGCTTGCTTTTTTATGCTCAGATGAGTTTTTGAGTAGTTGTTAGAAGGCGCTGAAAGCTTATGGCAGGTGATTCTCATCTCTTACAGCCTATATAAACAGGCAGCAATAAAACCTTCTCACTGCCTACTAAAGACGGCCGGCTCTCTGCAGAGCACAACACCAACATTCAATTAAAGTAGGGTCAACCACAAGGTTGAGAGAGACCACTGCGGGAGGGAACACCCAGGAAGCCTGGACTTCTGCCTGGGCAACTGGGAAATGGCTACTTCAAAGAGCTTACACAGAAACTGCAACTGTAACAAAAACTTCAGAACAGAAGGAACACCTCTGCCAACAACTGTCTAGGGGGATAAAAAAACCAAAACTGAATAACAAAAAACTATCCACAAAGCAAAACTAAAAAAAAAAGCCCCAAACATTTAAAAGTTGTATTTGAGAAGTGGATTTGTAGCAGCTCAGGCAAGAGATTTACACCTCCATCATAGCAGACAGAAAGGGAAAAAGCAGTCAGTCAGTGTAAAAGCCCTGAACAGGAATAACACTGGATTCCTGCCTGATTTTTTGTAGCAAATCAACCACACCAACAATGAACAGGAGCCCACAGAACTGCAACAAATCACAGGTGTGCTACATTCAGTGGGACAGGTTATTAAAGTGACCAACAGGCTACAAGTTCTCCACATGCCCCCACATGATACAGGAGTAATGGCCTTGGCATCATTTGACAGGACCACCTCTGCAGGGAGCTTCTCTTTTGGTTTTAGGAGACTCCTTTGCTGTACCCTTTATGTATGCTGGGATGGCCACAGAACTTCCAGCTTATTTCCACCCCAAAGCATGGGGGCTCATCAGAAAGGTTGGCTAATGACGTTTCTGCTCTCTAGCCACTACAGAGGATTACAGAGGATCCCAAAGTAACACTCGTTTTGTGGTAAAGCTCGGGCCTCACTCCTTCACCTGCCTTTGCACAACGTGCAAGAATCAGCAGCTTCTGGGATCAAAAAAACAGGAGATGTGAAGACAGACCCCACAACATGGGAACCAACATTAGCCTTTCCCTGCTTCAGCCCAACTCCCCCTAGAGCAGCCCAAAACCCTCCAGTTTATTCCTCTATTTCAGACAATGATACCATTAGCCAGGTGACTTGGATCAGACCAAGGATGCAAGCAACTCAAAATCCTGCTTCTTCTGTCCAGTTTATCACTCCCAAAGTACTGTGAAGTTAAAAACCAAACCAAACCACCCCACACAACAAACACACAAGCATCCCTAAAAGGCCTTAAATGTAGAAAGGACAATCCATACATAGCAAAAACCCACATCGAGCATAACAAAAAAAATCCCACAGAAATGGGTACAATCTCTCACATATCCTAGCTTTACCCTTTTTCTAACTTAATCCCCAAAATCTATGGTGACAAAGCCAAGAATAAAGGAGAACAATTTTTTTTTCAACATGTGCATTACGACTTAATGAAATGGTGAGAAGTAGATTCATGAGGCTGCCAGTGCCCTTTTCCTACCTCAGAGTATCATTTATAATGAACAGCATGTGGCAACATCAACAGAGAATCAAGTGAATATTATTTTTACACACAAAATTAAAAACTTAGTATATTTTTATAGCAGATAATTTTTTTCCACAGAATAATTCAAGAAGAAATTTAGAGAACAGTCTCATACAGATGCTACTTATGAAGAAAAAAAAAAGAGATAAGGAAAGATGAGCCATCATCAGGAGCATGATGGAAACACCAGACAGCACGCAGCTAAACCCATCAGCCTCCTTCCACTTTCATTATCTTCACCCAGGCATCCTGCAAATGTGCATGCTGAATGTTTTGTTTAAATCTTGAGAATTTAGTTCTGGCATTTGAACTTTCTAACAGTTCTAAAAACAAACAAACAAAAACAAACACATGTAAAGCAACTCAATGCTGAAATGCTGTTGCACAGGGAAAGAGGTGTTTCCACCTCCCCAAAAAGCCCCAAGAAAATCTTTATTTCCCAGTCCCCGAGTGATGACTCTCACTACCTCTAAAGGTAAGTAGGGATGGTCTGACTGTGGATTCAAAATGTGCTCAAGCCTTATGGTCAAGCACAGATTACATTAAAAATTGCCATTAAAAATAAGAATATAACATGCCTTGTTCTAAAGCGCTTTTTTGCCTTTTTTTTTCCCCCCAAAATCCACAGGACAACCAACAACTAATCAATCACTTGTGTGGCAACATACACAAAGTCCAAAGATGCTCACCTTCAGGGATCTTTTAAATGAAAATTAAAACACCAAAGTGACACGAAGAAATCACCATGTCGCAGCAAAAAGATACTCAGCTCTCCAGGCAATTATTGCAATGGAACATATTCTGACATCACTTTTAATATCAATTACCAGAGTGGTTCCTAAACTTGCACCATATTCCACACCTGTCACGCTTCTGACTTGTCAAGCTGTGGCTGCATCAGTATCCCTGATCTGCTCACAACAGCCTAAGACAGGAACTTGAAGAGAAATCAGCCTCATTCCCCACTGTCACCTAAACACAGGTGAAGATGCCCTGAACCCTGCAGGTGTTCAACCAAAAATAACTGCAGGAAACACTCTCCTCAGCCACCAGCAATGACATCAAGCTGCCAGCATTTCCCTGGCTTCCCCAGGGCTGCTGCCCATATTCAGAATTTCACCCTGGAGCAAAAAAAGGATGCTGGATCCAGCACACCACTGCGCTT